CAAGTCCCCACCCCACCCCACCCCCCAAAAAAGAAAAAAAGCAAAGAAAAAAACTGCATGTGAGAAAGGGAGACTTGTAGGGAGCAGAGGGATCGATAGGAGAATATCGTGGGGTGCGAGGAGCCATAATATACATGTACGGAACTGTAAAGAGCAAGGGTTTTTAGTCTGTAAAGAAAACTGGTGCTGGAGAGACGGCTCAGCAGTTGAAAGCACTGGCTGCTCTTCCAGAGGACCCAGGTTCAATTCCCAGCACCCACATGGCAACTCAAAACTGTCTGTAACTCCAGTTCCAGAGAACCCAAAACCCAGACATATGTGCAGGCAAAACACCAGTGCACCCAAAATAAAAGTAAATAAATTCTTTTAAAAATTCAGGGTTGTAAATAACAACTATACTTCCATTGTGTACGAAGCAGCAGCTCTGTGCTGCTATGCATTAGAGTAAGACAAGCTGAGGCATCACTCCAGGCTTGGCGGTCTACTTGAAAACCAGGCAGAAAGAATTTGGATGTTATAATAGAACATCCTCAGGAAATCACACAGTAAAGCATCTTTCTCTTAGTAGTATCATGGCTGACTGTTGACTTTATTGACCATTGGAACCATCTAGTAGATTTGAGATTTGATCAAAATAGTTATGAATATAAAGTAAAGCAAAATAAAGCCTAACAGATGAAAGACTAAAGCAATAAAACTGGCATTAGCAAGTCAATCCAAATTATATAAAATAGCCATAAAGGTACAGTGTACACTTAACTGCACTTGTGAGCCTTCAGAATTTACTTTTAAAATTTGAGTACTGATTGATTAAAAAATAGTAGTAACAGCCCAAGCAAAACTGTGTTGGTACATTCATTTGTAAAGTGATAATTTCACAAAGTCCTTCCCCACCCTCCCACCACCTCCCACTCCACTTAAACTTTGTAGTAGCAAACAAATCTATTCAGGACATTCTACTCAACTTCGATTTGATATAACCAGGGTAGTAGTGAATACTAGTTAGGAAATGGGCAACATTTAGCCTGGGACTTGAAGAATGGCTAATTCTCTACCTTTTCGTTGTTAATCTCTAGACTCTAGTTTATAGCCTCCCCTTATTTACATGAGATCTTACTACACTGCATCTTCTCTCATAGGAGCTGCTCTGGGAACTTGGTAGAGACTGAAGTTGGTGCCATATGGCCTGTGCCATCAGTTAACTACTGTGTTAAACTAGGCAAGCTGGCTGACCTTAACAAGCCTACATCCCTTCTTTTATAAAACAGGGGTGATTTTAAAAAACTTTGGTTGCAACTGGGTGTTTTGAAAGAACATGCTTATAAAGATGCTACCAGCCTGCCTTGTACATCCTGTTCACTTAATTATCTACTTCATTGCTGCTGACATTTTCTGCTCCACAGTTACCCTCTTTGGTTCATTTGCATCCTGGCTCCTAGTGTGTTTCTGAAATTAGTAGATGCTCAATTAAGTGTTTAAACCCAAGAGGGTAAAGCTATGATAAAGAAAGGGAAGATTGGTAGTAAGGTGTGCGCTGGGAGCATCCACTGTATACTTCATAAAGGAAATAGAAGGTTACTGTTGACTGGGTAGCAAAGTACTCAATCTCAGTGAGAGAGGCAGTGGAGAGTACCACTGGTGAGGATATGCAGGGTATTGATGCTGATAATAGGGATGGAAAGGCTTTGGGCTAGTAGAATGGGTTTATTTATACTAGGGAGTAACAAATTCAGAAAGCTACCATACCAAATTAAATTGGAAGGGTGCTGGCAGACGGTATTGTAGAGTTTCAGCCATTTGCTAATGGAGAGAGTCATGGTTGCAGGTCGAATTTGGAAGTTGTGTCGACATGACCTACAGTTCTGTACAAACTTCAAGTTTAGAAATTAGCTAGTAAAAAGGATTCTTATTTCCTCTCTTTTATTGTTCACTAGAAAGTATATTTAGCCAAAATGTAACCAGATGCAAACAACCCAGTCAACTATCCAACTCTATAAAATATTACTTCCTAAGGGGTTGGCTCTTCAGAAACGTGAGTCTGTGAGTGAAAGGTTCTTAGAGGCACATGGAAAATGATAACCATGGTTAGGAGCACTTGACGCTCTTGGAGAGGACTGGAGCTTGATTCCCAGCACCCACATCAAGCATCTCAACAGTTGAGGGCATCTGACACCATCTTCTGGCCTCTGTGGACACCCACACATGTGGCATATGCACATATTCACATTGTTTTTAATTAAATAAGTATTTTAATAAAAAAAAGATAACCACAAGGTAGAGGAACTTTTAGGACCAAACCTTCTAGAAGAAAGAAATATGGTAACTTTTACACCACTTGCTGTGAGAGAGCAGTAATTTGTGTGTTTCTTTACTACAAGTCAGTTAAGCCCAGGAAAAGTAAGATTGTCACAAGGAAGAAGACAACCTGAAACCAGAGCAGACACACAGTAAATCGCCCTCTGGTTAGGAGACCTGTAGACAGAGGGTTGAGTACAGTATTGGACTGTATAATAGGTTGAGGTGTGAAAAGAATTTAAACAAAAAGAAATATCAAAAAAAGGAAATTTTAACAACTTTGACACAGAAATTAGAAAGGCACCAATAGTATTTCAGGGTTTGAGTGTGTGCATTCTCTGTTATTATTCATTTTGCCTTTTTTTTTTTTT